CCGCCCCGCCCACACTGCCACCAGCGTCACTCGACCCCGCGCCGCTAATTATTATGAATGATACAAGTAATTATTAACTCTATTTTCTTCCGCCTGAAGACTACGAGTCATTTTTATTTCATTAATACCAATTTTTGGTAAATTTCACAGAAGCTATTCCACGAAGCTCATATCCGTCTTTAGTATCGGAATCTGTCCTGCTGCCATCGCCGCCATCGCCAAAGTCGCCACCCACACCGCCTACACCCCTCACGCCGCCTTCTCCGCTTTCGCCCGAGTCGCCCGCGCTGCAGCCGCCCCCCGCCCTGCAGCCCGCCCTACTGCCCGCCCCCAGTGACGTCATGCCTGCCAAGACTAACGGCGAAGCTAAACCTAGGCGGGAACCGAAAGGCTTTCGGTAATGTATTGAAACTTTTGTAGCTTATACTTCGCGTTTCTTGTACATTATGTGATAGAGTAAACAGTATGATGTATGAATATACAGGATAGGTTCAGCGCGGCGCGTGACGGAGCACGGGGCGATGGTGAACGGCAGCGTGGATCGCGGCAAGATGGGGGCCCGTCTTCTACCCGGCCGCGGGGACCCCGACTTCGGCACGCCCGTCTGAGTCCGGCACGACACGTCAGAATACACGGCTGAACGTTCATCATCACATACGTCACGTTACCGTTATATCCGTCACGATAACGCGACGTGATGTGTGTATGATGTAAGCCGTACGTAGAGCAGAGCCGAGCCGATAGCAGATAAACTAAATACAGATTATGTTGCATGCTCTCGGCGACACTAGCGCCACACGTGCGCTTACTACTAAAGAAGTTAACTTAGTTCTTCTTTTACAGCTTCCGATTGCAATATATAAAACTAATTTAGTTTTAAATAGGTTAATACATATATTATTTTAGCATATATTTTGCGATTGACACAATACAATGGAAAAGTACCATTACGGTAGGTAAAGAAAACTAATTTGTTTTATGTCGTCGTCGACAATGTATTTGACATTTAAAACAAATATTTATTATAATCTTAAAATATATTGCTTTTGTGATTTCAGTTTTATATGTAGGTAAATTTAATATGAAAACAATAAGGAATTTGGTTTGTCCTACAAGTGTTACCATGTAGTAAAACTATAAAGCCCAGTCGACAGCAAATTATAAGACGTTACGCGGCTGCTTTTAGATTTTATTTAATAATTAACAAAATTTTCCTCGTGATCCTCAAAGTGTTATAATGTCGAGGTCAATTTAATGAGTGTACTTAGTATAATAAATTTTTAGTCTTAAGTTTTACATTTCTATAAAGTATTTAAAGCTTTAAATATATAATCTGTGTATGAACTCTACATTCAGCATCTCGTCTATGATTATCGTTTCTATGAATTGTAAAATGCTCTATGGTATAACATTTTTCATTTAATTAGTACAAGACCTTATGTGATTTGAATTTAGTTGCTACTATTGTATTCATTATGTTATTGTTCCGAGTACTTCAAATAATAATACCTACGCTTTTAATAATGAGATTTAATAAGGTCTGTATTTTCATTGGTTAAGAAATTATCAGTAAAATAAGACTACTTTCTAAAGCTCAAAAGTGCAAATAATTTCGTACTAAGAAAAGAAAATGAAACAAAAAAATCGAAGGAGAAAAGAAACGAAAAATATGTACTGTAGCTTATATAGTTTTTTTTTTAAATTTAACTATTGTTTAACAGTTGTTTTAAAAAGGAGGGTGTCGTAGAAATCATTACTAGAGCTAAAGCCGTTACTGCACTAACATACATATAATGGACGACTTTGTTTATACATCGCAATGATTTGTCGCCTCATCGGAGCTCTCCCCACTTCCTATTCACTCGACAATTTATTTAATTGGACACATAATGTAGGGACACGGGGAGGGATCGCCAGAATTTATATACACAAACATTTAGCATCTGAATATCTGAAAATATAATGATTGAAATTTTCATTTTAAAACTGAATAGCGTTACTCGAGTCACACTGACGTGAGTATACTCAATACATTTTATGCTCTTGTCACATTTGTGAAAGATGTACATACATTTTGAACAGGGTCAGCATAAAACAAAGCTGTCATGTCGCTAATTGTGCGGAACGACTTCGCCCCCGCGATTCAATTTTATGATGACATGTAGCTATGACATTCTATTAATGCCAATGATATTCAAAATAAATCACTAACAGCTCTACGCTAGTAGTAGTACTATTAACGTAATAGACTCGTATAAAATAAATTTTATACCTAAAAGTACCAAATGAAGACTTAAGAATTGCAAACAAATTTTATACAGACAGGCAAAAGGCGGAAATGTGAAGTTTGTCTTGTGTTATAAAATTACGTCTTTTGTTTGCAAAGTTTAGGACTTGTGATTTAGCGTATAATTGGCGTATGAGAGATTGTTACAGCTAGTCAACGTCATCGCAGAGGTGTTAAACAGTATGTAATATAATGACAAATATTAAGGCAGTCAGCGGCGACGTGGCGGATTATCACCAACAGCTGTCTGGATAACTGCCAATTGTATTTTCGACGTAGTATCATTCTCAACATGTTTACCGACTTATTGGCATACACCTTAACGTTTACATTGTCCATTTAGCTAAAAAAAATATGTCCTCTTATTTCTAGGGTTACAAAAAACGACATTTAAAAACATTCTTCACGTCTGCCAAGATATTGCAAGCTCCGTCTACAATTGGCATAGCGTAGGGAACGATAATGAATGGTGCATCTCTATACCTGTAACTATGTGCGCTATATCTGTTTGTTTACCTTTCCAAGTACCGCTGGCAATAACACTGGGAAGTAATGTTTTAGTAGATATATAGCTGGTAACAAATCTACGTTAATTAATATCATAAGGGTTTCCGTTTTGATTCAAACGGGATTAATATTGGGTTTCTGACATCTAAATCACTGTATAAAATAGACCACAAACAGACTTCTATACTTTTTATTTCCTTTACTACTGTTATTGTGGCAGTTCACTGAGTTTATAAAACTATTTGATTGTTTGATGAATCACTGAGGGGTGACGTAAAGTGAGGCGCGGTCTGTTTGTCTAATAAATGAATGTAAATGGATCGAATCCGCCGAATGTATCCTATAGCGTTTCTGTTAATTATGATTGCCTATATATAATTTCGCGGTTGAATAGTTAGCGTTTATCTTAATATCAACGTCTTTTGCAAGTTGTATATTCAAGAAATTGATTTAACATTTAACTAAACTATTCGGTGAGTTAAAAATACTTTAAATGAGATCTCTATTTTTCAAAAACAAGCTAAGGTTACACTTTTTCTTTTTAAATGGGCATGAGTGAAGACTGTTAAATCGATAATCTAGTAAAATTACGTAATACTTACCTTCTTTTTTATATTTAACTTATTCATTTTATTAATTAATAAGATCAATTATAAAACTATACGTGCTTGTGAATAAGGATTTCTTACACTTTATATAGTATCTACTAAAGTGTAAAAATATAAGCTTTTAGTGTAATAAAGTAACTTAAACCGTTTTCACAGCGACATTTTTTTCTCATGTTAGAAAATAAGACATCCAAGGCCTACAAAAATGGACTATTGTTTGTATTTTGCGAATTTGAACTGAGGTCGATGTGATATTCGAAATTATTTTTAGTCATTACTATAATTTTTTTTAATTACTTTCCTTGCTAATTAGAGTAATTTTATTTTCAGACTATGTTTAAATAAGAACTAACAACGGATTATGGGGTTCACAATTCTTTATTAATACCAATATCCGACTCGCATTAAAAATTCAACTTTTACAAATTGTATGAGAAAATTATACCTCCCACGATTATTTTACTTTGCTTTTACTAAACTAATCTTAAGTACTTGAGCTATAAGTATCAACAATCTTATAAAATTATCGACACTTAACATAGAGTTTTCGCAGCCCAGTAATAATTCCGTCAAGTGTGCTCTAATTTTAGCCATTGTGTATGATAAAGTAGTATGTAATTATAAATGATCTTATCATTTTTCAACAATGCTGATAGAGCAAGATATTAAAAAAAACAAAGAAGGCTGTAAGACATTCCATAAATTTTTGGATTATCATATTGCTATGATCAAGCTGAAATATAGATTTATGTTTTTTTGCAGGAGAACTATAATAGATTTTTTAAATGTCCACTGAATGATATGCCTATGTACTATTACGTGAATTACAATTGTATTTGTAAAAACCTTTGTGTTTTATTGTGTCAATACACTAAATTCAATCTACGAAATATATCCTTCATCTTTTTGTATCATTCTCCTCACCCCTAACACTAACGATTCTCAAACTCGATAATGATTATTAGAAAAAATGGCAACTGATAAAAAAAAGTTCCTTCATGCGCCTGCGTAAGTTTCACCGAATTCATTGTTTTATTTTCCTTTCATATTTTAGTTGGCGCATTCAGGCAACGAAGGACTTGATAATATTTCATACTTCCCACTTTGAACTAGACATCGAGTTAAAAATAAGAATTAGGTAATTGTAAAAAGGAGTAGAAATTTTAGTAATGCCATTATGGTAACACTAGAAATGTCATATTGAAATGACAGTTCTGGAGTGGTAATTATTATTACTCTAACAGATCGACTAATGGCCAAGCCTATTTTTCAATTTTAGTGTTTTTTGCATGTATTTTATACAATTATATTCCTGCTTTTAGGTACTTTTCAATCATGGTTGTCAAAGTATACATAAGTGGTATTTCTGGTAACAAAGAGGTACGTTTAATATTAGAAAATTCCTGGCTACAACCGGGTGCCTTTAGTCTTTTTTATTAAACTGAGTCATATAACTTTTGTTTTCGATTACGTGATATCACTTTCTTTTAGGTAAAAAAAAGGCAACAGCGTGTCTTGATGATATTAGATTCTAAAAACATAAAATATGAGATCATTGACATAACGGAGCCTGGCAGGGAAGATGATAAAGACTTCATGCAAAACAATGCCAAATGCAACGGGGGCACCGTCAGCGACCCCAACCCGCGCTCGCCACTGCCTCCACAACTATTTAATGACCAAGAATATTGTGGGGTAAGTACAATCAAAAGATATATTCGTTTAGTTATTTACGTCAATGCAACTTCTGTCCATTTTATATTTCCTTAATTCTTCTATACAAGTATGCCAATTCCTTTAAAGCACTGAGAACCACACCCTAATTAAAATTTCTAATTGGTTTTTGGATGAGTACAATATGTTAGAAACTAAAAGACTTGGTGGTTAAAATGTTGTGAAGGTACTATTCATTTGGAGTTGAGAAACTTAATAAACAAATTAACATTTTTTTATCACATATGATACTACAACACCGTGTGATACAAACAATGGCTAAGCATTTATTTTTATCTATTGTTTTCATTGTAACTTTACATATTTAGATATGTATGTGAAATATTTAAGTTTCAATTGTCATGTGCAAATTACTGATATTGATGCTTTATGTCCACTTCTTTTCTGATATAATTTAATTTTAAAATATAATATATGTTGTTGTTCTCCAAGCTTAATGGGTGGTAAAAAGATCTTTTAACAAATTACAGGATTATGACCACTTTGATTTGGCAAATGAAGTTGATACACTCGAGCAGTTCCTGAAATTGGAGCTTCCTCCCGAGGAGCCACCACAGACTGAAAAGGTGAGAGCTTTATATTTTGTAGCAATACTTTCCGCCTGAGGAGGCCATACTACTCTGAATCCGCATGGATGAAGGGGAAGAGTTCCAATATGCTGTTTTGGTAGCCACATTTTCACAATCGCTTTTATGTTAAAACTAATTTTAAAATTGTATATTTCAAGGAAAATGCATTGAATGGTGATGTCAATGGAGGTAAGGTCAGCAAAGAGTCGAAAGAGAACTCCCAGGAAAGGGAAACAGTTGTTTCCAATGAAACTGGGGAAAAAGAACCTTCACCTGTCAAAGAGACCACACCTAAAGCAGATTCCCCTGCAAGAGATGCAACACCTACTAAAGAAGA